TGTATGTATTAAGTAGCTTTATAGTAAACACTATGCATAACACAAAGATTATATAAAAGTGACAGTTTAACAAGACTGATACTTTTATTCTAAATGTCAGTAAAACAAATTATCATTCTTAATAGAGCCAAATATTCAGAATTATTGTATTTGCTCTATTAATTGATTTTATTTTTCAAATTAGTTGAAGATACTAATTTAAAAAAAGGATTAATAGAGTTTGATTCCAGTTTTTAGCTATACAGCCTATTTAAGAAATAGCAAAAACTGATTATTGCAGTGGGAGGAAAATGAGTTCTTTGGCCTTTGTACTTTGCCTTGTAATAAGTGAATCTGATGTTCTTTGTGTTTTCTCCCCTTTAAAAAAGCAGCACATTCATCATTTAAAAAAATTCCTCATGATTGAAAACTGATTTAATATGGTGGCTCTTCCCTGCATTTGGGGACGAGTCGTCTCCTATATTACCTGCTTCTCCATTGGGTTTAGTTTGCTTCCCGCCACCTGTAGCACACTGTGGCACGTGTGTCGGCCATGTGGCACTGAGCTCTGCAGAGGTGGCCCTGTGTCGCTGTGGCCCTGCATTAAGTTTGTATATCCGCATGCAGTGTAAGGTGGACTTTGATTGGGGAGTGGGGATTTTTGTGTGTGGCACGGTTACATGAAAACAGAGCCTTTGACTTTCTTTTCTTTATTTTTTTAGAACTTTGACTTTAATAACTCATGTATTTTTTCTGCTGAATTTCTGCCTGAGTTCATTGGAATGGTCCATGAGAAACACTGTTGCTGGTTGCTATGGAACTGATTGATATTAAAAGATTATGACTTTGAGTAGAAATGAGGCACAAAGAACTTCTAAATTCTTAGAGTGAGGGTAAGAGATCAGCATTTCAGATGCAGGCACAGACCTGTTCATTTAAAAGTAACAGTTCTGGTTTTGGTAAAAATTTTGAAAATACATGTCTCACAGCCCAGCCTTATATCAAATATAAAATCTCAGATTTGTTTTATTTTATTTTTATTTTGAAGAGAATAAAACCAAGTGAGAAAAAACAAAATGGGATCAGTCAAAACATCAGGATTGACATATAGTAAGTACCTGACTTAAAACCAGAATGCAAGGTGACCTGTAATGGTTACTGTGATGTCTCTTGTTATCTTCAATAGAATTGCCCATATCATCAGGCACAATACAATTGAATATAGCAGTATAGAACAAAATCAATAAAAACAAAACGTTGGAGACATTATAGGACTTCAAAAGAGGGTGGTAGTCAAGCCAGAATGGGTATCATAGTGAATCTTACTATCTTCAGAGTAGTTGCCTAAACTCTCAGACTTGATACTATCAAACATAACAGATTAGAATAAAATCAGTTAACACAAGACAGCAGTCAAACAAAACAGATTCAAATAAAAGCAGTCAAAACAAGACAGTGAAAGCAATACAGGGCTTAAGATTAAGTTAATAGGAAATTAAAAATGGTTACCATAGTATATCCTGCTATCTTTTAAATAGCTGTCCATGCCATCAAATTTAGTACAAATAGACAAAGTGGAACAGAATATAACCAAACTAAACACAGTGATGAAAACAATATGGTTTCAAATCACGATACAAGATTAACAGTGTCCTCTGCCTCCCCTTTTTAAATATTTGTCCCCTTTCACGTTCACAGAGTGCATTGTACATTTTTTAGCTCACTAACTCTTCTAGTTTTTAGATTATGGAGGCAACCTGCTATTTACCTAAGTGATTCTGAACCTTTTTATCCCTGAGCTTGATCTCAAGTTATATCCATTTACCTACAAGATCCTCAAAGTTTTCCTTCCTTATAGCTAAGTAGATCTCCATTGTACAGAAGTGTCATGTCTTTCCAACCAGTCTGCAGCTGAAGGGCGATCTACTCCCACTTTTTTCTGGTTCCCTGTCACAGAGAGCATTATTTTCTCATGATAGACTTTCAGCCCATGAACCCTCTTTCAGGTTAATTATATTTCTTATACAGAGCATCTTGATGGACCCTATCTCCTGATGCACTCTTCCTGTGTTTCTTTTTATTAGTGTATTGAGGTCATCCATGTTAGTGATTATGGCCAACCTTCTCTGCTTCATTTCTGCCATGCTATTTTTCTGCCATTGGTTGTCTACTTTCCCCCTTCATTCCACTGTCTGCCCCATTTAGTGAACCCCTCTGCCACTGTTCCTGAAGCCATGGTTTTTTTTGCTCTCTCTCTAGAATGTCCTTCAGTATTTTTGTAGGGTTGGATTGGTGGTCATGAACTTCCCTAGTTCCTCTTTGTCATGGAAGCATCTTGTTTCTCCATTAATTTTGAGAGATAGTTTTGTAGAGTACTTCAATCTGAGTTGGAGGTTATTTTCTTTCAGGGCTTGGAATGCTTCGCTCCAAGTTCTTCTTGATTTGATGATTTGTGTCGAGAAGTCTGTCATGATTATGATGGATTTTCCTTCATAGGTGATCTGTTTCTTTTCTCTGACAACTTTTAAATACTTTGTTCTTGTGTTGAATTTCTGGGATCTTGATTATTAAATTTCTGGTATATATCTACCTTGATTGTAGGTGGCTGGAGTTCTGTATGCCTCACATATCTGAATATCATTTCCTTATGCTTGGGAAGTTTTCTTTAATTATTTCTATAAATAGCCTTTGTATTTCACTTGTGCTTACTCCTGCTTCTTCACTCACATTTCTTATTCTGAAGTTATAGATCTTCTTGTCATCTTCTAGTCTTTGTATTGTTACTTCCTGGTTCCTTGTTATTTTTAAGAGGTCTTTCACGATCACAAGTTGCAAATCTATCTTCAAGGTTTGATAATCTTTAGTTTCTTTCAAGCAGTTTTGCCAGCTTTCAATGGAGTTTTTAACTTTCTGGTAATCTTTAAATCTGTTTCATATATTCTAGATTTTTTTAATATCCTTCATTTCCCTCCTTTTTCTATGCGCCTCCATTCTTCTGTCTGTGTCTTCCTGAGGTGCTTAGCATTTTTAAAATTATTTTTCTTGTATTTTCCTTTACTTGTATTAGTATTTCTTTTTTAAGTTCTTTTATAATTTCATGAAGATGTTTCTTTATGTCAGATGATGTTTCTTCAGAAACTGCAAGTGTGCAACCCCCAATCTCTTCTCTGTTTGTCACTAATGGTCCAGTACTGCTTGGGGTGGAGGCTACAGACTTCCTTTTATTTCTTCCTCTTGTTATGTTTCTGGTTTCTTCCAGACAATTGGATAGTGGGGTCCCCAGCACTTCTGTATTGGTTATAATTTTTCTGAGGCATGTTGGTGTGTGGCAGGTTAGCCCCTCCCTTCTGAGTTGGTTAACCATTGGGAGTCTTCACTACATTAGTGTGTGCTGTGCCAGTGGGGTTGGTTAAGGATAGCCCGGGGAAACCTTGGCTTTGGCTATTGGTCACACACAGGGACAGGACTCAGTCCAAGCAATTCTCACCAATCTGCTCTGCACTAGAAGTGGCTGAATGAAGCTGGCTGCAGTTCTGGTTCTTATCATGCCTGACTCCAAAATATTGTCTGGCCAATCGCCCACTCCTGCGGGAGGATCCAGTTCCTCACACTCATCTCGAGCTGGTGCAGTTCTTCGGTCTGCCGCTCCCCTCTGCAACCACTGTGTCCTCCCACCAACCCCCAACTTCACCATGGGGCTTGCCAACCCCCAACTTTTCCATGATGGTTGGTCTTCAGATTCCGGTGGTGTTTTACACACAGTGGGACCAGCTCTGGTGAGAGCGCATCTGGCTACAGCCCTCTGTTCATGTCTGTCTTTTCTTTTCTTTTCTTTTCTTTCCCACTTTAGTTTCTTCCTGGGTCAAGAGGATCCATCTCCTTCCGTCTGGTCTTCTCCAGGATGCTATATTCCAGCATCTGAGCTGTTGTTCTCAGAGAGGCTTTTACTTTACTGCTTATTGAAATGATGACAGCTTTCCAAAGTGTAGTATAATCTTAGTTTTAGAACTTAAAATTCAGCTTCTAGTTTTCAGTGTACTGTGAATGATGAATGTAATGCATATTTTATTATTTATCTTTAAATGTACCAGAAAGGAGTTTTTGACCATTTTTATCTATTCTTCTGGCAACTGCATTAATGACATGCCATTTTGCTTCTCTGAGCTCATTTTCCATGTCTGTATAAAATGGGCATTCTAGGTGTGGATGCAAGAGGTAGGAGTCTGGGTTAGAGCAATTTCTGATGTCTCTCCCAGTTTTAAACCTTGCATGACCGAAGGGACAGACTGCCTTGGTGGCCCAATGGCCGCTTCACCTGTCTGCTACTGTGAAGGTTTCCTGTTATTCTCATGCTGCATATGGGTTTCTGAAGGCTTTAGATGTGATCTAAAACATTTACTTGGCTTGGCTTTTTTGACATTTACTTGCCAGCAGTATCTCAGTCAAGCAGGAATTTGGGTTAGGTTTTGAAGACTGAAAAAGTATGAATAAAAATGGAAATGGGGTCATTTATCAGCATCCATTCTTTTGTTTCATTAATTGAATTTGTGTCTCAGCAGTTAGACGAAAGAATGTGTGTAGTAACTCTTCTATTTTATTAATCGTATTTTATCTTAATCCTGTCTTTGTTTTGGCATGAAATAAGTACAAAATACAAATTCTTAAAGCTTCTTATTACCCTCCACCTCCCATGAAGTACTTACACAACAGGTTGACTGTATCTACTATTGTTTCTCTTCTACTCAGTCTTTGCTGAGTAATAACATGACTGGTTTTCTTGCCTCATATCTAACCTAGACAGTTTTTATGTTTTTAAAGGGAAGGAAAAAAGCCAATGACTGAAATTGTGTCATTGTTTTATAATCAAATGATCAGAGAAGAAAATACCCTAATAAATGCAGGACCCTTGGGAATCCTTGCACAAAGAATAGCAGCCAGGGTACTAAATAAGTGTGGTATTTTATTGAGAAAATCGGTTTTGGTTTTGCACTTCCCCTGGTAATGTCATGTCATTTATTTAGATATCCTTGGAAGAGAAAATCTTCTTATGGAAGCGACTTCTAATGATGCTGTGAGATTCTATCCTTGGACCATCGATAACAAATACTATTCAGCGGATATCAATCTGTGTGTGGTGCCAAACAAATTCCTTGTCACCCCAGAAATTGCAGAGTCTGTCCAGGCATTTGTGATTTACTTTGACAGCTCACAGGTAAGACTTTGTTTTCCATGGAGCCTTGAATAAGAGATGATCATATGCTTTTTTTGTTGTTTGTTTACCGAATTATTTGTGAGTTTTCTTAATGTCTCTCTTTCTGTTTTTCTGCTTGTACTGGCTCCCTCTAGAAATCAGGGCTTGACAGTGTCTCCTCGTGGCTTCCCCTGGCAGAAGCGTGGGTCCCAGAGGTGATGATCCTGGCCTGTGACCGGGTGTGTGAAGATGGTAAGCCCTGGGGCTGGTGCAGTGGTTTTCTCAAGCACTCATTTCATGTACATCTCATGTGACCTTGTCACTTTACAAATATATTCAGCTACTTTGAAAATCTTACCCATATTTACTTTGCTTGTAAGAATAGATACTTGAGTCTGAAGAGTCATTTTTTTTAATGTTACTTTGTTCTAGATACATTGAGGGTAACATTGCCATTAAGGAAAAAGCATTAAGATTTATGCAGGGCACCGCAGGGTGTTCATCTTGTGTTTCTACTTGTAAAGATTAATTTGCATATTATTTTAGGAGTAAACCGACAAAAAGCTCAAGAATGGTGCATCAAACATGGCTTTGAATTGGTGGAGCTTAGTCCAGAGGAACTGCCCGAGGAGGATGGTGAGTGTGGAGGGCTGGGTGGAAAACGTGACATTTACATTAAGATGAGAGACTTTTGAGTTCAGCAGAGAACAAAGTGAAACTCAAGAAACAAGGTTTCTTCCCAGCTGTGTGAAAAGGATTGGAGCCAAATCCACTAATTGAGTCTTGCCAGTAATGTGATGATCTGTTTATTTGGTTTTATCACTCATTTTAGGAATGGAAAAATGCTTTTTCAATAGATGACAGTAAAACATTTCTATCCAAAATGACTGTCATTTCTCTAATCCCTTATTCTTTCCCTATTGTCAAATGAGGAAAGCTAGACTTAATTTCATAGGTAGAAGTTCTGCTCCTTCTTTGAATGCATAACAAACTGTAGGAACTTCAGGGGCCAATGCAGACCTTATTTGTATATGTTCAGGGCGCTTGAAACCAACAAACCCAGAATACCCCTCTATCCCTGCATAGCTGTTTATTACCTGTCTTTTGCTTCTGTCTAGATTTCTTGTTTCTTGCTTTTTGTTTTTTTAATTAATTTTTTTTTTGATTCCCCAATTTTTTTCCTGTGTAGGATCTACCTGGAAAAGACAGAGTTTAGCATATCAAAACCTTTTATCTAGTACCAAAGCTAAAATGTGGGTATAAATAATTAAGTCACCAAGTAGAATGTCATACGTAGTATTAAGGAAAAATACTGATGCTGTGATATTTCAGAGATAAGAGAGATTACAGTCACATGTTAGTACTGGAATGCTTTGAAACACACCAAAACATTTTGCTGCAAAAATTTTATCCCAGTACTCACTGTTGGTTTAATACTAAACATTCAAGCTAGAATTTGTCGTTTCTGTTCCCTTGTTCCTCGCTGCCCATTCCAGGCAAAACATTTTGTTAGGTACTTGTCCTGTCTCCTGGAACCAATTAACGCGGAGTACTGAGGTACTGTGTATTTCAGTTTAGAAATGTAGAGAGTGGCTGGTGCGTACAGTGAATTCTCAGTCAGCCACTCTGGGAGGAAGTGGAAAAGGTATTGGACCTGCAGTTAGTGGGCTGCAGGGGAGGTGGCACCGATAAGATGCCAGTTGTTCTAAATCACGTTCTAGGCAAGAACAACCAATGCAAGTGAAAGCAGGTGCAGCAGACAAGATGAGCCATTACACGAAACCTTTTAAAAAACAAATTAAGTATCTTCTGTGTCTAGCTTAGACTTTTTCCAAAATGCTGTTACCTTTAATAATAAAATACTGCCAGAGAAGAAAACAAAAATGAAATCCTCAGATTTTTATTCTTGTACATTTTTAAGAATATTGAAAATTAGCAAAAAGTTTCCCCTCCTACATATGTTTTTTTAAAGCCTCCTTAAAACTTGGGCCTGACTTTATATATGTGAGCATTGTGCGTAATTGCTTATTCTGGCACTACAATTTGTTTTCTGCTGTCCTTGGGAGAAAATATATGACTGTTACCATCGAGAATTTTTAACCCTCTGTATCACTAGTCATCTCCTTTTCTTTTGTGTAAGCAGTGTTCTTGTATTCAGTAAATTAAAAAAAAAAATTTTAACATGTCATCTTTAGGCAAGATAACAAAAACCTTCCTAGAATTTTTAAAGATGAACGATTTCTAAGTCGTATTGCCTCACACTGTATTTATATTTGTATTCAAACACCCACATAAGCTGTGTGCAAGTTTGCATTAAATTTCCTCTTATTAGTTGTAACTCTTCATTTCAGAACCATTTTTTTTGTGCCTTGGGTATAACATCTAAAATATGAATCATTCCTTCAAGAATGGAGCCGTTAGTAGTTAAGAAAAACACAACTGGAGATACAACTCAGCAGCACAGTGCCTGCCTGGCAAGCACAAAGTCCTGAGTTCGATTCCCAGTACCAAAAAAAGAAAAAAATCGTGCCTCTACATTTTCATCTAGACATCCAAGGCAATAAACTCGCTTTTGTGGTTATTTTCACTGTAATTGTTGCTCTGTCATTGTTAGATTGGTGTTCTTTTAAGATTGGTCAGCCCGTGAGACAGTTGCTGTGTGCCTGCCGCTTCCAGGAAGCCATCGGGCAGTGGGCAGGGTGGATTGACTGAGACACGGTTCCAGCCTTCTGGCCTGGGCCAAGATTGCACCAGTACAGCATCAGGCCTGGTGTAGTTTTCCTCCAGGAAACGTGTGCACAGGGTTGTGCTGGCTCTGCTTTTCTTGGAGATAATGTAAATGATGTGGTCTTGGTGAAACAAGCCAAGTCACAGGCCTGGGTTCTGATGTGACTTCTGATTCTATGCCCCTCGTGTTGTGTCCCAGGGCTGGGCTGTAGCAACAGGTGCTGTGTGGAGGGACCGTGTTCTCCAAACTGTTTCTTCTAGCCACGTGCAAAGGATTTCCACCGTAGTCCTCAGTATCCTTAAGAACCATTTCCTTTGTGCATAGCCATACCTAACTGTGGCTAAGAATATCACTGTGTTATTGATGTGCTACCTGGGATTATGGCCTTTTTGTTTTGAGTCAGATCAGTCATTGATTTTTAAACTTTTTCTTTTTTTTTTTTTAATTTTATTTAAGGAGAAAAAACAAAAAAAAAAAAAACCAGAAAAAGGGTACAAGTTATACAGAATTTCAGAAAAAATAAACAGGAAATCACTAGTTAATTACATATTGTCATCTTAGAAATAGTTATTGAAGTTACAAAATTAAAGCATATAGAGGGGACTTTCAAACAGTGAAACTGCAAACAGTTTTGTTCAATGATCCAACAAAACTCAGTAATATGGTTATCTGTCTTATACACTTAAATATATATGAGTCGTATCTTTTAGAGAACTTTCTTTTCCTTTCTTTTGTACAATGACAATTACACATTTTGGGTTTTATTACTCCCACAGTTCTTACTACTTTTTTTTTTGAAGAAAGTAAAACCAAATGTGACATACCAGGACAGAGTCAGTCAAATCAAAAGGATGGACATAATACATAATGTAAAAACAAAATACAAGGTGATCAACAGTAGTTACCATAATGCCTCTTGTTATCTTAAAAAGAATTGCCTATATCATCAGTTATAATAAAATTGAACAAAACAGTAAAGAATAAGACCAATAAAACCAAAACATTGGAGACATTAGAGGAATTGAAAAGAAGATAATAGTCAACCAGAATGGGCGTCACAATGAATCTTATTGTCTTCATAGTTGTTGCCTATACTTTCAAACTTGGTACTATCAAGCATAACAGAATAGAGGAAAATCAGTCAAAACAAGATGGTGAGGGCAATACAGGGTTTCAAATCAAGTTAGTAGGAAATCAAAGTGGGTTAATAATATATCTTGCTATTTTTTATTTATTTTTCCCTTAATTAAAAGGATAAAAATGAAAAAGGAGATAATAAAAAGGAGATTGAGATAAAAAATGGGGCATAACAACAAAACAGCGCAGGTCAAAACATAGCCATTTAAGCAAAATAGTGTTTCACCACAAGACAATCCTGACATAATAGTAGTTACCATAGTGTCTCTTCCCTTAAAATCTTTGGGTATAACTTCGTATACTGTAGTATCAAACATATCAAGACAATGTAAAAGAGAATGACAATATTCAAGAGAATGACAGTATTACAGGGTATTTAGAATCAACTAACAGAAAATGAACAATGGTTTCTGTATAATCTCCTTGTCTATAAAAGTTTTTGCTTATATTATCACATATAATAAAATCCAGTAAGATACAACCTATTAAGACCGATGGAGACAGAAGAATACACGTTTGATGGGACTTCAAAACAAGATGATACTAAATTAGCACTAGCTATTATGATGTCTTGTTTTCTCCAAAATAGCTGTTCCTACCTTCCGATCTTCTCTGCCTCATTTCTGTTGAGCTCTTTTTCTGTCGTTTGTTGTCAATTTGTCTTCTTCATTTTGCTTTCTGCTCCATTCATTGTGGCCTCTGTGCCACTGTTTCTGGAATCTTGGTATTTTTCTTTTTTTAGAATATCCTGCAGTATTCTCTGTAGAGTTGAATTGGTGGTTGCAAATTCCTTTAGTTCCTCTTTATCCTGGAAGCACCTTGTTTTTCCATCAATTTCTAGGGACAGTTGTGCAGGATATGTCAATCTTGGCTGGAAGTTACTATCTTTCAAAGCTTGAATTATTTACCCCCATGCTCTTCGTGATTTGATGGTTTGTGCCGAGAAGTCTGCTGTAATTCTGATGTGTGTTCCCTTGTAAGTGATCTGTTTCTTGTCTCTGACGGCTTTTGATATTCTGTTCTTATATTGGATTTCTGGAATTTTGATTATTTAATGCCTGTGTGTAGCTCTGTTTGGGTTATAGGTAGCTGGGGTCCTGTATGCCTCATACATCTGAGTATCTTTACTTTTTGCTAAATTAGGAAAATTCTCCTGGATTATTTCTGTGAATAGCTTTTGTAGTTCATTTGTGTGAGTCCCTACTTCTTCTTTTATGTTCCTAATTCTTAAGTTATAGATCCTCTTATCATCTTCTAGTCCTTGTATTATTGCTGTTTGTTTTCTTGTTATTTTTAAGAAGTTTTTCATTTCATGCTCCCACCTTACAAATCTGTCCTCCAGTTCTGATATTCTTAGTTTCTTTCAAGCTGTTATGCCAGTTTTCTTTTTTTTTTTTTTTTTTTTTTTTTGGTCTTTTTCACTTTTATCGGTACCAGGGATCGAACTCACGACTGCCTGCTTGCAAGACAGGCGCTTATGCCGCTGAGCTAAAACCCCAGCCCCGCCAGTTTTCAATAGGGTTTTTAGTTTCCTGGTAATCTCTTTGAACCTGCTTCACGTATTCTATGTTTTCTCTATTTTCTCCATCAAACAATTCTCTCCTTTTTTTTCTGTACTTCCATTCCACCATCTGTTTTTTCTTGGGCGGTGCTTAGCATTTCTCTAACTATTCTACTGATTTCTTGCTTTATTTCATTAAATACTTCATTTTTGAACTCGTCTATGAGGCTCCGGAGATACCGCTTTATGTCTATAGATGCCGTGTCTGGTATTGCATGTTTTCTGTCTTCATCCTCTTTTTCATTTACCTTTCCTGGATCAGTGTTCTCAGGATTGGGGACTGAGGACCCTTTCTTGTTGCTCCCTTTTCCCATACTTTTTGTTCCTTCCATACAAGCGTATGTACAAGGCCCAGTTTTTTTTTTTTTCCTCTTTGTCTGTTACAGTTTGTTTGAATCTGCCAGCTAGGTGTTCCCGCCCACTGCAGTGTACTAGGGAGACACAGACCTGGGCAGCCTCTCCTGGGCCCACCCCTCCAGGTCAGCCTACTGAAGGCTTCACTGCTAGGGTGCACCGCCAGGCGCAGGGTCCTGATTTGGACTAGCCTACTGGATCTTAGTCCGTGGCGTCACCAGGCCAAGCGCTTCCCACCACTCCCGCTTGAGAGGGGAATATGTGACTATAGTCACTGCAGGGCCCTGTTCTGGCTAGTCCGCTCGTTCCCAGAATGTCCTCTGTTGGAGCCTCCTAGTCTATGAAAGGGTCCCCATTTCTCTCACTCACCTCAGGTCGATGCAGGGCTCCCTGCCAGTCCCACTCTCGATGCCGTTTGGTTCGTGGATTCCAGCTCTTAGAGCCTTCGCACATCTCTCTCCCTGCCGTGCAGATTGGGACGCAGTAGCTGCAGCAGGAAATTCAAATCACTGCTCCCAGTGGCGCAGGATCCAGCTTCCGCACTGAGATTTTATCTGTTCCTGTTATAGCATCAGGACTGCATTTCCAGTTGGTTTCTCTCAGCTTAGTTCATTCCTGGGTCAGCAGGGTACATCTCCCCTCGTGTAGGACTCCTCACATAGCACTGCTCCTGGATTCTAAACTGGTAATCTCAGAGAGCCTCCGTGGCTGCTGTTATTTGTCCGTCATGTTCTCCTGGAAGTCAGTAGTAGTATTCTTCTAAACTCTTTTTCTGATAGTTCTCTGTGTATCTTAAAACAGATAATAATTATCCAATGGTTTCTAGTGGAAGATAGAACATTTACAATGTGTTATTGTATACTAAAAGTTTTATGCTGTCTTTAGGAAATGCACTATATACATAACCAAGATAAATAGCTTGCCTTCTAAGCCAGGGTTGTGTATTTAATGAAAACTTACATTTTCAGAAGAATACAAGTGGATTCCATGAGTGAGGCATTGGGAATACTTTATTATATATCCTTTTTATATTGTGTGTTTACTTGCTCATTCCAGTTTGTAGAATATTTCTTTTGGGACCTCTGAGCTCTGTATTTGCTCTGGTTTTCTTTGAGGGGGTGGTGGTTTCTTATTACACAAGTAACAGTGTGAAGTAACAAATAATAAACAAGATAATTAAGCCACAATAATTTGAAAATGCATCCTCAGAGGAGCATGTATATACATATGTGGATGTGGGTGTGTATGTATTGTAGTTGAGTGTAAGTTTGTATATTAACATATATATGTATATATATATATGTTTTTTCCTTTTTCACTAGATGACTTCCCTGAATCCACAGGAGTAAAGCGAATTGTACAAGCCTTAAATGCCAATGTCTGGTCCAATGTAGTGATGAAGAATGGTAAGTAACTTGAGTCTCAAGATAATTTTCCCCATTTTTTGTTAAGTTTTAAATTATTGGAGTATATGTGGACCCATTAGGATTATATTAAATCTGTAAATTTGTCCTAGTTCTCAAGCCTTCAGTTGAAAGAAGAGCCCAAGGTAGCATTTCGTTGGATTTTAAATATGTGTTTAATAGTTAACTCAGTAACAATTTAGAGATCACTTGTCATATGCATAGCATTGTCTTTGATGTTCAGAATTATGTAAAACTGTAAGACATATATGCTTGTCAATTAAGAGTATGCTAGTCTAGCTGTAGAATTCAAGCCTCCACTTTTCAAATGTCAGGTTTCCCTGCAGCATAAATGACACAGGCAGGAGGTGCATAGAGTCAGAAGTGTGGCTGTTGTGTTACGCATGGGTAGTGTATTGGTCAACTTTCCTAAATACCTGGTACCCACATTTAAAAGGAGAGAGGTTTATTTTGGCTTATGGTTTTAGAGGTTTCAGTCCAGGGTCAGCTGCTCCCAAAGCTTAGACATCATGATGGAACCAAGCTGCTCAACTCCTAGCAGCCAGGAAGCAGTCAGAAGGAGTAATAAAGGAAGGGGCCAGGGACAGATGGGGGCAGACCCAAAGTCGTCTACCCATACTTCACTTCATCCAACTAGGTCCTGCCCCCTGTATCTCATTTACGTACAGGCTTAGCCATGGATCTGTGCCTTTACAAGCCAGTCACCTCTTGGGAGTCTCTGAATCCAGCGGAGCTCACAGTTCACATTAACGCACATAGGAAAGAGAGAGAGCTTCAGTCCAAAGTGTCCCAGCAGTATTCATGTGGTGGTCAAGATTTGGTTAGTGAAAAGGGACAGTGACAAGCCGGGGAACAGGCATGATATCAAGAATAACAGGTAGTACATTCCGGGTTCACCCAGGGAATTTCATTGAGCAGATGCAGCTGTCTTAGAGACCTGAAAGGTAGGCAGGAGGATTCAAGCTCTTTGCTGTAGTAAATGATAAGTCATGGGAGACTTTTAATAAGGCAGCAAGGCGAAGTTGGCATCTTTGCAACATTAATGCGTGGTGGTGTCCACGGGGCTTGATGGAAGTAGTCTGCATTCCAGGAGACCAGAGCCGCTGCAGCAGCTCACAGCTGAGGTGTGGGGGCCTGGGCTCTGGTACTGGCATGGTCTTGGGTAGAAGGCTGTGTCCGGAGTGTAGAGGGTAGAGGTGGCAGGTGGCAAGCTGGCCCACACAGGCTCTTGGGGTCTGCATTAGTTTGCTGGAGCTATAGAGGTAAAGTGTCACACACTGGATGGCTTTCGAACAACACAAATCTATGGCCTTATAGTTGTAGATGTCAGAAGCCCAAAACTGAGGTGTCAGCAGGTCATGCTCATACTGGAGGAGATGGGAAAGGATCTGTTCCAGGTGTTCTAACTTCTGTCGTTCTTTGGCTTGTGGCAGCACAGCTCCAGTCTTCGCATAGTGTTTTCTAAGAGTGTCTGTCCAAATTTCCCTTTATAAGACTAAAGTCACCTTTCTTAGGGTCCTTTACTAATTGAGGGTGGCCCCATTTTAACTACAGATAAATTCAGAGTCTGAGCTATAAGAGGTTAGAACTGTAGTGGAGGAACTTCAGGAAAATGCAGTGCAGTCGTAACACAGTCCTAAGCAAGTGCTGCCTGTGTGGGGCTTCTCTCTTGTAAGCACTTAGCTATCATAAGTTTGCAGCATGAAGTGAACACTGTAGCAAGGAATGAGAAAAACCATGTTTTATATGAACCTACCCCAGGGACTCTAAGATAAAGGTCAGGTGAACGATCAGTTTTGTACAAGTGGAATGTTTCGTCTGATTATGGATGTTAGGTAAGATCAGAACCCTTTGGCTCACCTGACATCTGCTCTCACCCTGTCATGGTTGGAGAAGCCACCTTTGGCATAATAAGTTTCCTTCCTCCTCCATCCTGGGAAGGAGAATCTGATATGTCTGTTGTAGTGAATTGAAAAGGTAAAAGATTTTATTTCATTGCCTTAATAATCAAAATAATGCTGTGATCTAGAAGGAATAAGGGAATTTTATCCTGTGATGCCATTCCCCCATTTTCAAAATCTGCTCATTATGACTGGGTCCTTCTCATTCATCCATCTATTCATTCACAGATCCCTGCTGAGCATTTACCATAATGAAGCATTGCTCTAGACTGTCTGTACTTTAAAAGTTTAAGATATGGTACATAAGCTGGATCAATTTAGAATAAAATTATATTCATTGGCATTTGTTATGTTTTTAGAACAAGTTGCAGAAAAATTTGAGTTCAATATTTTTTTGAAAAATGTGACCTCCAAGTTTATACATTAAAGAAGAGACGCATTATAATTTGCACTTGTGGTGCGATAGTTGATCTTCTGAATTTATGAGGTTTGCATCCTTGGATTCTACCAACAGTAGGGTGAAAATATTTGGAAAAATATGTCTAAATTAAACATACAGTTTTTTTTGTTATTCTCTAATCAATATAGTGTAAGAATTATAAGTAATCTTAGGAATTATAAGTAATCTGAAGATAACGTATATTGGGTATGCATACATAATAAGGAAGTACTGTTGTTTTATAGAAAGCAATTGCACAGCTATAGATTTTGGTGTCCTTGGAAGTCCTGGATATCTGTAAATTTACAAAATGCACTGAACACACTTTATTACTTTCGAAGTATGGGAAAAGGTATTTTCTTAAAATATTCTACTTATGCATTCTATTTTAGACAATGTATTAGTCCTATTTTTCATTTCTGGGATAAAATACCTGACACAGCTTAAAGGAGGAGGGATTTATTTGGCTCACAGTATCAGAGTTCATCCATGGTTGGCTGGCTTAATGGCAGAAGGGTCTGGTGGAGGAATGCTGCTCTACCCATAATAGCAAGGAAAGAGCCAGAGTCAAGAATACCCCTGTCTAGGCCACACCCCAGTGACTCACCCCCTCTCGGTACCCACCTCTTGCTGGCATCAATGAATTGATCAATCTGCTGATGAATATAGCATCTCCACTATAACAGTCACCTTCTAAAAGCCAGTGTTGAACACATGAGACTTCAGGGGACATTTTAGATCTAAACCATAACATTAAAACAATATTCTTTTAGACATAACAAACGTTAAAACAATATATTTTTTTTTTGGTTCCAGGGATCAAACTCATAACCTTGTGCTTACCAGGCAAGCATTTGAGCCACGAAGCTAAATGCCTGGCCCAAAACAATATTCTTTTAAAACCACAAAGAGGTACATTGTGAGTTTTTCATGCTGCTTTGCCCTGAGATGTCTTTGCTTTCTTCTTTTTTCTCTGTGCACTGGAACATTGATTTATTGTTAGCGTAAAACAAAATAATATATGCAGTGCCTTAGGTTTAATCCCCAGCACAGCAAATAACACCACCACCACCCACTAAAATATTTGCATTATCTTAAATCCATGTTTAAGAGGACCCTATGTGGTATGGAAAAAAAAAAAGGCTGTCTGGGAAGAACTCTGTTGTAATGCTGAAATTCGATTGCATTTGGGGGCTGCCCAGTCATGGGAAGTGTGAAGGAAATGCCTGTGTAGGCCCGTGTTGTCTGTAGAGAGCACTCCATTTGCCGAGCCACACCGTCCTTCCAGGATGACCTGTTTGCTGTGTTTTTTGCCCTTGCTTTTCTGGTGTTTGTCAAAGTGCCTTCCTCAACAGGTTTTTTCTGAATGTCCCAAGATTACCTGCCAGCAGGTACTCAGACTGGTTTGTCTTGGCTTCTTTTTCTCTTACTGGTTAAAATTATGGTTAAATAAAAATTTACGATTTTAACCTTTTTTATATGTATACATCAGAACATTTGTATTTGCTGTGCAGTCCATCACTACTCAAAAAGCTTTTTAAACCAAGAAGTTTATTTTTTTTAAATCAAAGTTGATTTACATAGTAAAAAAAAAAAACCTTAGAAGTATTGGATAACTTTTTCAGGACACTAATGACTTTATTTGAATAGAAAAATTAGTATAATCACAGTTCTTTGGGAAAGAATTGGGAAATTACATAATCCTGATTCACTATTTAGTGTTTATTGAGAAGTTATGGGACACTAATGCTATGCCAGTCCTCATCTTTATACAGGTGAGGAAAATAGTATTTTAAAATTCCATCTTACATGTTTAAAAAAATTCCAGTTTTAGGATAGACTGTGAAACTGGATGCTATGACACAGAGCACTGAAAACACACAGATCTTACTGGAGTTTCTTTGTAGTTTCTTGAACACTTGGCATTCAAAAGTCAAATAATTAATCTGAAAATCTAGTTAGTTAAAAATATAGCTGAGTAGCTTCCTTCCTGGCCTTCACCAAAATAAAATGAGTGCCCTACCTGAATGGAAATTTGTGATTAAGTGAATGGCCAAGCTGATTCCTTTGAGCTGGTATGACTTAGTCTGGACAACTTACCTGGCCACATTTTCATCACCTTTTGCCTTTAAAATGTCTCTTCTTGGCTAGGGATTTAGCTCAGTAGCATAAGAACCTGCCTGGCAAGCATGAGGTCATGAGTTCAACCCCCGGTACAAAAAAAAAATCTGTTCCTTAAAAGCAAATAATACACAAGCAACAAAGAAAACACATAAGTTAGACTTCATTAAAATTAAAAACTTTTGAACTTTAAAGGACAGTGTATCAGTTTTGTTTGGATATAACAAAATATTGGGAACTGTATACTTTATGCAGAAAAGAAGTTTATTTAGCTCACTGTTTTGGAAGCTGAAAATAAAACTTAGCCTCTTTTGGTCCTCTAATCAGGCCCTCTGACTACTTCACAGCATAGTGGATGGTAATGGCAGGAGTGTGTGTGTCTGTCTGTGTCAGAGAGATACAGGAAGAGAGACAGACAGCCATACATACATACACACATATGGCAAGAAAGAGAGACCTTCTAACTTTTTTAAATTGACCCAGTCCCATAAACTGTGATCCATTCCTGAAAGACACTATTA